CCCCCCCGCAGATACCAAAATCTGCAGGCGTTCTAATATCTTATATAAAATGGCATAGAATAGTGGATACTGTTGGCCCTCTGGATCTGTGGATTCCCAACCAAAGATCAAAAATACTGGTTTTGATCCGCAGTTGGTTGAATTCGCAGATGCGAAAGTCAAGATTACACATGGCCAACCGTACATTTATTGAAAAAATCTGCATAAAAATGGACTTGCGTGGTTTAAACCCATGTTGTTCTAGGGCCAACTATATATGGACAAGAATAGATTGTTATGTTTTGATCTGTATCATATCCAAATATAAGATACTATATGACAGTGCTTCATTTTTGTTGTATTCCGTGGGCTGAAATACAAAAATATAGTGTAGAACATTATTGTAAAATTAAGTTTTGTGGGGTTTTTGAAAAGATTTTTTTTGAGAGAGGGAGAAACATCAATGTGAAAGTGAAACATCAATTGGTTGCCTCTTGCACACCCCCTACCAGGGATCGAGGCCTCAACCTGGGCATGTGCCTTGACTTGGAATCAAACCAGCAACCTTTCAGTGCATGAGACAATACTCAACCAACTTAGCCACACTTGCCCGGGCTAATTTTAGCTTTCTTAATGTGGCTACTAGAACATTTAAAATGACTCACATTATATTTTTATTGAAAATGCTGCCTTAGAGTTTCAGTGACTTGCCAAGGTAGGACTCCTGTGACTCTAGTTAGGACTCCTATGACTGCTGTAAAATTATAGATTGCCTTATTGGGAAAAATGGAAGTAATGTTTGATCAAAAAGGTGGATAATTCAAACACTAAGAACTTTGAAATAATTTACTTTTTATTTTTATATCTTCATTGATTTCAGAGAGAGGAAAGGAGAGGGGGAGAGAGAGAGAAAGAGAGAAACATCAACGATGAGAGAGTCATTGATCAGCTGCCTCCTGCACGCCCCCGATTGGGGATCGAGCCCGCAACTCGGGCATGTGCCCTGACCGGGAATCGAACCCCGATCGCCTGGATCCTAGGTCAACGCTTAACCGCTGAGCCGGGCAATAATTTACATTTTAAATTAAAGCCTATATTGTTAATCTGGTAGAATCTCTCAGCATTTCGGACTTGGGATGTTTTTAAAGGGGCAAACTGGAAAAATATACCCACTGATTAAGTAGCCTAAACTCATTTTTCTTTTTTCCTAAGCATTCACAAATTGTTCTATATAGGCGATCGCTGATAACCCAGTATTTTATTGGGATGGGTGTGCAGGAGGTAGGGGGCAAGGTTCACCTAAAGGTTCATCTATAAATTTTTCTATCTTTCTTGCTAGATTGGTTTAGTATAGTAAAATTAATTCTTGTCTGGCTGGGTATGGCTCAACAGTTGAGCATCCGGGTTCAATTCCTGGTCAGGGCACATGCCCAGGTTGTGGGCTCAATCCCCAGTTGGGGGCGTGCAGGAGGCATCCAATCAATGACGACTCTTTCATCATAGTTGTTTGTATCTCTCTCCCTTCCTCGCTCTGAAATCAATAAAGATATATTTTTAAAAAATTTAATTCTTTTTCATTTAATAAACATTTGAGCAGATACTAGGTAAGGCTCTGGAAATGTAATGGTGAACAAGGCATAGCCCCTGATAGAACTACAGGCTTTCTGTTTGCTTTTTGTTTTGTTTTGACTTTTAATTTGGAAATATTTCCAAACTTACAGAAATTACAGGAATAAATATAGTACAAAAGAACACTGTATACCCTTTACCCAGATTCACCTACTGTTAACATTTTTTATTTGCTTTATAATGTACCGCCTCTCTATGTGCATGTATGTGCATACATATTTGTGCATACACACATACATACATTTGAGAGTAAGGTACAGATGTCATTCCCTTTACCCCTAAATGTTGCATTGCATAATTCCTAAAATGTAGGGATATTCTCATCTATAAGGACAGCACAGTTATCAAGTCAGTAAACTTAGTAAATTCAATAAATTTGACATTAGTAGAATACTTTTTGTAATCTACCATCTACATTTCAATTTTTTCAGTTGATCCTTTCATTTATTAAAATATTTTCCCCATTTAGTATAAGATTCAGTCTAGGATTGGGTATTCAATTCAGCTGTCATAGCTCTATCTCCTTTAATTGCTGATATTTTTCTAGCCTTAATCTTTTATGACACTGGCATTTTTAAGATGACATTACCACCCCCTCCTACCTTCTGCTTTTTAAAAAATCTTTATGAGGTTCATCTCTCTGTTTTTTGATTTCAGAGAGAGGAAGGGCGATAGAAACATCAATGATGAGTCATCATTGATCAGCTGCCTCCTGCACGCCCCCTGCTGGGGATCGAGCCTGCAACCTGGGCATGTGTCCTGACAGGGAATTGAACCGTGACCTCCTGATTCATAGGTCGACACTTAACTACTGAGCTACACTGGCCGGGGCTGCTCTTTTTTTTTTTTTTTTTTTTTTTTAAATAGAACATGTCTCATATGGGATTTGTCTTTCCTTATGAGTCGTTTCAGGTTGTGCATTCATGACTGGAATACTATAAAGTGATATGTTCTCTGGTTATCACATCTGGAGGCATACGTTGTCCATCTGTCCTTCATTGATGGTGTTATTTTATTCACCCAGTCAAGATGTTTCTCAATTTATCCACTGTATAGTTAAATTTTTTCCCCTTGCAACTAATAAGCAATTCTTTGGGGAGATACTTTAAGACCATTTATATATCCCTCATTCAGATTCCCCCCTAGATTTAGTATCTATTGATGATTGTTGCTTAAAGCAGAGTCTATATACTGTGATGGCTACAAGTGATGATTTTTTCAGTTCCAGCACTCTCTGCACGTTTACCAGTTGGATTCTACTGTAAGCAAAAGCTCTCCCTTCTCCACCTATGTAAGTGTGTATTTCACTATTATTGATATGGACTCATGGGCTCCTTTTTTCTACAGGCCTATAATCCGTTACTGTCCTTAATTATTTTGGTGCTTAAATTGTCACAGATTTGGCCAGTGGGACCCTCTTTAGGCTGACCCATAAGTCCTGTGACCAGCTCCCATTATTTTTTGAGCTCTTCCTCACTCTCTGGCATAGCAGCACATTTCAAGTAGAGCTACAGTTTTATATGAGACCCTTTGGTACACAAGTGGCTTCAGTATAGTGTGTTCGGTACTCCCGTGAGGAGCACAGCCTGACGTGGTAGCACAGTGTAAGGTCCTCTAGCCTAGTGTAGGAAGAGAGGCAAGGCAGTAGGACTAAGGCCGAGGGTGGGGTGGAGGGAGTGTCAGTGGAAGGTGCCACCAGTGCCAACATGTAGGGTATCAGTATGGCTTGGAAAAGCAGAAGGGAGGGAGGAAGATAGAAAAGTGCCTCAGGCAGATTATGATCATGGGCTGATGCCCTGAGAAAAGGTGGCGCAAGGACATCCATGCAAAGGATCACACATGCTGTTTGGTTTGGAAAGAGAATGTACGAGACATGATCAGATTTGCATGTTAGAAAACAAATACTCCGTCTGTGATGTGGAGGAAGGCAAGACCTATAGGGAGATGAGCAGGAAGTTGATTAGAATATTCAGACATGCCCTGAATAATAGTAACTAATGTTTCCTGACTTACTACTGTTTTCCATTTAAATTCTACTGTTATTTCCATTTTACAGATGAAGCTTCAAAGGCCTAAGGATTGAATATCTTTTCTTGAGACTAATAAATGCCCGAACCAGGGTGTAAACCATGACCCACTTGATTTCACACAGTTTAGTTGGTTATGCAAGAACGGGAAGTCACACCCTGGTTTCTAATTTTGTTAACTGAGGGGTAACATTCATGGAGAGAACAGAGAGTGTTTGTGATAGAGTTCCTTTTTGGATATAGTGACTGATATCTTTGGGCATATTCTTATGGTGCTGTGTTTTAGGCAGTTGGTTATTATGTGTCTGGAGTCTTGGAGAGAGTATGATGCTTAAGATACCAATTTGGGAATCATCAGCCTTTAACTGTTTTTGAAACCTTAGTAGTGGGTGTGATCACTGGGAAAAAACAGCTAGAATGAGAAGAGGCAATTTAGGGCAGAAACGAGGGGAACATTACTGTGATGAGAAGTGGGAAGAAACCAGGCTACTATGATGTCACAGAGGCTGCAAAAAGGAAGGAGTGNAATTTGTACTTTGCTTCCTGGTTGAAATGTTTAAATGATTTCATGGCTTTTATACATATAACTATATAATTGTACCTTTCATAGGTTCTGGAATACTCCTTCAAGTAATCTCTTTAATTTGTTAGAGGTTTTAAAAATTTTAATAGCTAATTAAATATTAACATTTTAGCATTAAAGTTTCAAAATTAAACAAATTTCTTAAAACAGGGAATGATGCCCAGCCGGGCGTGGCTCAGCTGTTGAGCATCAACCTAGGATCCAGGTGATCCAGGTTTGATTCCCGGTCAGGGCACATGCCCGGCTTGCAGGCTCGATCCCCAGTCGGGGGCGTGTAGGAGGCAGTCGATCAATGACTCTCTCATCATTGATGTTTCTCTCTCCCTCCCTCTCCCTTGCTCTCTCTGAAATCAAAAACATATTAAAAAAAAACTGTAAACAACTCAAAGAATTCTAACAAACTCACGTCTTTCTCCTACTCCCAAAAATAAGAACTATTCCTAATATGCACTTGACAAGTTTTCACTTGCTCAAACTATACAAATTTTAAGAAACACTGTGCCAGATGTAAAAGATAGCTATTTAAAAAAACAACAACGGGAGAATATAAGGCAAACAGGACAAGCATGCTTTGTGGTGATATTATCAAGTCTTGTTTCCTTATTTTATTACTTCAGCCATCAAAATAATTATGCTGCTTTAGAGAAGTGCTGTGATGATAGCCCTTGGGAAAATGAGTGATTATATATAAGTATGATTTTTCAAGGCTAGAAAAGTATAGTTGCCAAGTAATACTACTATGTATTTTTAATGTAGTTGCCTTTGTTTGTTTGTTTGTTTGTTTTAAATGATTAAATGAAATTGAAGTTTGAGGGGTTTTGGCTTTTTTTGTAATATGTGGCTATATTACATCAGAAAGGTCTTTGGCTAAGTTGAATTTGTCAGTTTTCCAACTTTCCATTTTAATATATTAATGGTTTCTATTTGAATAAAGTGACATATGTAATTAAATTTAACCATACCTTGATTTCTTTTCATAGAAAATGACTGCGGTGTTGGAAGACCATTGCTATTGGAAGGCCGGTTAGCATCCATTTCCTAGAGAAACTTGACCACCATTTGCTCTGGCATGGCGCAAAGCGGTCCACAGCTTGATATGCAGGTTCTCCTTGACCTCCGACAACGTTTCCCTGAGATTCCAGAGGGCGTGGTGTCTCAGTGCATGTTACAGGTAGATTAACCACCAGTGATAGTGATTAAGCTACATATTTCCTTACTAGAGGAGCTAGCTTTGTGTGTGGCGACCAGAACTCGGTTAAGTTTTCTTGTGTAGGGGGAAGGAATGACATTTGGAGCAGGATTTCTCAGCTTTGGCACCATCAACATTTTAGGCCGGATAATCTTTGTTGTGGTGGTCTGCCTTGTACATTGTAGGATGTTTAGCAGCATCCCTGACCTCCACCCACTAGATGCCAATAGTATCCCCACACTTGTGACAGCCAAAAATGTCTCATTGACATTTGCAAATGTCCAATGGAAGGCAAAATCTTCCCCATTGAGAACCACTGATTTATTAGAGAAAAAAGCAAATGTAGCCCCCCCGAAAAGGTAGTAAAAAAGATTCTCCTCACATTTCAATTGCTTGGGCTGTCATCAGACCCCAAAACTGTAGAATTGAATTTTGAATCTCAGATTTATAACTTGTTGGACTATATACTTTTGAGTCTATTTTTAAAAGTTTGTAGAGTTCACTCCCTTTCTTACTGTTTTTCTACTTGGTAAATGCCACTAAGGCCACTTTCTTTAGTTTAATCACATTCCTTTTGTCTTGTCTTCTAGTGGAATAAAGGTCTTTCATCTCTGGTAGACCATGCCTTCTGCTCAAGGCAGCAGACTTATATCATCCTTCGGAGGATCTTGGGGTTTTGGGTTATAGTGTTTCCCTATTTGGTTGACATTTGGGAGCAGCACTTCTTGCCTACTGGATTCCCTCACACAGTCAGTTCAAACTCTACCTTATTGCAGTATGAGTGGCTCAGGATATAGCCTAGGCCTGTATACAGTTGAGATTAATTACGAATAGAGAGACTCACAGTAGAGTGGTGGTAACAGAGGTGCTTCCTTTGTTTGCAAGCTGCCCTACTAGGTGTAGAACTTTGGGCTTCTGGTTTTAGCGTTATAGTTTCTTTGTTTTCTCACACACATTCCCAGTCTGAATTTCTGCTCTTTAGCCTCTTATTTTGGCCTCTGGTAGAGTAAAGGTGATACCAGACAAAGTGGGGGTTCCTCTTCTCCACTGGGCGCTGCTGGGGGTAGACTTCTTACTCCTGTGCAAGTCTCAGAAAATTCCTTTTCTCGGGAATTTTCTGAGACTTGCACAGGAGGATGAGTGGTTTTTATTTGCGTGGAATTAAGTCCCCGCGTTTCCAAATTCCCATTTCCTTCAGTCAGTCATAGAAGTGTAGCTGGGGTTTCAGTAAATCCAGAAGCAAAGCCAGTGTCCAGAGTTTCCTTTCCATGTTGGAGACAGGTCCAGTTCAGTATCAGGCTAGTTGCAGTCCATTAGTCCATTGTGTGGGGGCAGGGAAGCAGGAGCAACAGAGCCCCACAAGCCTACAGTCACATACGTCCCAAGCCAGCCAAGAGCATAAAAGAGTGAACGTCTTTGTTCAGGGAATTAAGTATCCCAAATCTTCATGCACTTGTGTGGCCACGCCCATTCAGGCCAAAGACCTCTGTTCCCAGGTGTGACTGATGAAAAGCACCTTCCCTAGACATCCCAATTTTACTGGACGTGTGGCTACCTTCCTTTTGTCCAGTCCCTGAGTGTTTTGCAGGGAACATGCCTGTAATGTCTGGCTTTCCCTTTTTCCTTTCCTATTATTAATAATTAGCTAATTACAATGGTATCACTTATTTTCCACTGGAGTGAAATCAAATGAGGCTCTGGTTTAAAGCACTAGTTCTGGTCTTTTTATTTTATTTAGTCCTTTATTACCTGTATTTTTTCATGGCTTAGTGTCTTCATGTAATGGAACTATAAATTCAACTCAGTGAACATTTGGTGATAACTTTTACATTGTCCTTAGTCTTACTTTTTTGTTCCTTTGGGATTAAGAGTTAACTGATATGGAACTTACCTCCTACTGGGTCTGGAAATACATGGTACCTCGGTAGTTTTCATTTAATACATAAGCCTTACAGCCTCTCTCTGGGCTATCATCCCTCAATTTAGGATCACTTTTTGAGAGTATGATCCTTTTTTGCATTGATGCTTTCAAGAGTATTCATATATTTCTTCATAAAAATTCTGACCTCTTTAAACAGTTTTGATTTTTTCATGTTTATTGTTTGAAAAGTTTTTTTATCCATTTTTTTTCTTTTTAAGACATTTACCAGGTTAAATATGACATTTGAATCTATTAAAATATCTTTTTTATGTGATTTAAAATTTTTCTTCATAGGAAGATTTACTCAACTTGTCACTGTAGACACATTTGAAATAGGCTGACAAATCCAACTTTGTATCATTTTTAGTTTGGATCCTTTGTGCAAGAGTACTAATTAGGCTACCTGATTCAATGTAGAAAACATGAAATTTCAGGATCATTAATAAAAATGTCAGATAGTAAAGTGTTCATGACTGCTTTAGGTTTCAAATAAAACTCCTAAGTTTGTGTTCTTCCCTTAATCCATTGGTTTATAAAAATACTTGAAGGAGATAGTTTTATTTTCACTTTTCATATTTTTCCCCCTTCAGTTATGTCAGTGAAATTTCTAGTTGGCAATCAATTTGAATCCTTTGGCTCCAAATTTGCTTAATATCTAGCTTTTCTCCCTTGACCAGTGCGATTTCCAAGAAAGATAAGAAAAAACCCAGACTTTGAGTTCTAATTATTTTCTTCTTAAATTTCAACATTATGGTTTTCCTATGGCTGAGAAAGTATTTTTAAACGTATTTGAATTTGAGTATCAAAAGTTTTATATAAGGAAAAAGATAAAAGTTACCTATGGAATTTTCATAACACCAGTTTAAATTTCTGAGAATTCATTTTGCAAAAGTTTGCTTGACCAAATCTTTGTACTTCCTAAAGCTTTATAGTAATGTACTTTTGGCCTAGCATCCTCTCCCTTGAAGTTTTTGTGTTTTAGGGGAAAGAGCACTGGAAGTCAGGAGACCAAGAATCTAGCCCTGGCTCTCTTGTTAACTAGTTAAGTGCTTGTTGGCAAGCCGTGCAATTTTCTAGGCATCACTTTTCTTATCTGTAGATGAATTGCATTGGAGTAGATGAACCCTAAGAGTTCTCCCAGCTCTAAAATTGCAGCATCGTATGTCCTATCTTAGATTTAACCTTATTTGGTTCTCGGTAGAAGTATACTTTTCCGTAAAATAAATATATGGTGATAGGTATGTGTATATATTTATGAACTACCGAGAAGGTGATGATAATTGAGGGATGTTAATAGATTATTTCTCTTCTTTTAAACTTTTGAAAAAAAATTTTAAAATTGATTTTGTGGAGCCCTGGCCACTGTGCCTCAGTGGTTAGAGCGTTGACCTGCGCACTGAAGAGTCATGAGTTCGATCCCCACCCCTGGTCAGGGAGCGTGCAGGAGGTAACCAGTTGACGTGCCTCTCTCTCACATCAATGTTTCTCTCTCTTCCCCGCCATCCTCCCTCCCTCCCACTCTCTCTGAAAAGCAATGGAAAAAATATCCTCGGGTGAGAATTAACAACAAGAAATTTGATTGGGTAGGGGAGAAACATTGATAGGAGAGAGATACATCTATTGGTTGCCTCCTGTACATGGCCTGACCGGGGATTGAACCCTCAACCTTCCAGTGCAAGGGATGACACTTCAACCAGCTGAGCCACACCGGCCCGGGCAAGAAACGTTATTAGATTATTTTAAAGACAATGAATAATAGTGTTTTAAGCTAATAAAATAGTTGTGAATTTGTTATTTTAATGAAAAAACTAACTTATATCTTAAAATTTTAAAAGGAGGAATCCTGTTAGTATTTTCATTACCGTCGATTGGAACATCTGAAATGTTTGTGTGCTATTACCATCTTTGTGTGTGTGTAACTCAAATGATTTTGAAAGTTTACCTAGTTGCCTTTCATTGGGTAAAAACTCAAAGACTAGACTGTAGGAGTGTGAAGAATTTCATTAAGTCAGTCAAGACCTGGTTTTGTGTTAAATTGCCATAACTTTGGCGAAGTTATGGAGCCATAGTTCAAAAAGTGGACTTTTCTTTTTTACTTATTTCTTTGTTTAGTTTAATCTTTCACAATGATACAGACAGTTGAAGTTATAGAGGGATACCTTTGGTTAAAAGAAAAGAGTGTTTTAGAATTTTTATTGTTTTTACTCTAGGAATTTTTATTATAATTTTTTTCTCCTTTTGTTCAGCTCCTTTAGAAAACTAAAGCATGGTTATTTTCATGTTTATCAGTTTAAATATTAATGATGGCTATTACTTATACTTGTATATTTGCAGCAATTGTGGTGAAGCCAAGATTAGCCCAACATTTTAATTTGTTGAGATGCAACAAGTATAAAATGAGTCCTGGAATTGGAGTCAGAAAAGTTGGGCTTGAGTCACAGTGTTCCTTAGTAGGTACTTTATTTTTCTGTAGCAGTAGCAGTAGCGGTAGTACTAGTCATGTGAGCGAAATGTCTATAAAATAATATGAATCATTTGAGATACCCTTTTCAGGATAGATAACCATGAAGCTTTTTGTGCTTAAAATACTGTTCTCTGTTTATTCTGTAACAATCATATTTGCATAAGTTGGGCAAAGCTTGACTTCCACTATTAGGATTTGTTAATTTTGCTAATGTTACTTTTACCATTTTTCTCCCCTAGAATAACAACAACCTTGAAGCCTGTTGCCAAGCCCTTTCCCAGGAGAGTAGCAAATACTTATATATGGAATACCATAGTCCAGATGACAACAGGATGAATAGAAATCGCCTTTTGCATATTAACCTGGGTATCCATTCTCCTGGTAGCTACCACCCAGGAGATGGAGCGCAACTTAATGGTGGTCGAACACTGGTACATAGCTCAAGTGATGGACATATTGATCCACAACATGCACCAGGTAAACAGCTGATATATTTAGTTCCGGAACCTCACTCGGCCCCAGCTGTTGTGGCTGCTACTCCCAACTACAATCCATTTTTTATGAATGAACAGAACAGAAGTGCAGCCACTCCTCCTTCACAGCCACCTCAACAACCATCTTCCATGCAAACAGGATTGACTCCATCTGCTATGCAAGGGCCTTCACCACCACCGCCGCCACCTCCTTCATACATGCACATACCTCGGTATAGTACAAATCCAATTACTGTTACAGTATCCCAAAACCTCCCTTCTGGACAGACTGTACCAAGAGCTTTACAAATTCTTCCACAAATTCCAAGCAATCCCTATGGGTCTCCTGGTTCTATTTATATTAGACAGACATCTCAGAGTCCATCAGGAAGACGAACTCCTCAGAGTACCCCATGGCAGTCCTCACCACAGGGCCCAGTGTCTCATTATAGCCAGCGTCCTCTACCTGTTTATCCGCATCAACAGAACTATCAGCCTTGTCAGTATTCTCCCAAACAACAGCAGATCCCTCAACCTGCTTACCATTCGCCGCCTCCTTCTCAGTGTCCTTCACCCTTCAGCTCTCCACAGCATCAAGTGCAGCCTTCACAATTGGGCCACCCAAGTTCCCACGTCTTTATGCCACCTAGTCCTTCAACTACTCCACCTCATCTGTATCAGCAAGGACCTCCTAACTATCACAAACAGGGAAACCATTCAGTAGCTTATCTCCCATACACAACATCTAGCTTACCCAAAGGACCCATGAAGAAGATAGAAATCACAGTTGAACCCTCTCAAAGGAGTCCTTCACCTATCAGTAATCAGCCGTCTCCACGGAATCAGCACTCACTGTACACGGCCACCACTCCACCTTCAAGTTCTCCTTCAAGAGGGATATCCAGTCAACCAAAACCTCCCTTTAGTGTCAATCCTTTGTATATTACATACACACAGCCAACTGGACCTTCATGCGCTCCATCACCATCTCCTCGGGTGATACCAAACCCAACTACAGTTTTTAAAATTACCGTAGGCCGAGCAACGACTGAAAATCTTTTAAATCTAGTGGACCAAGAAGAACCTTCTGCAGCCCCAGAACCTATTCAGCCCATTTCAGTGATACCAGGCTCGGGGGGAGAAAAGGGAAGCCATAAGTATCACAGGAGCTCTAGTTCTGGATCAGATGACTATGCCTATACACAAGGTAATTCTATCCCTTCTATGAAATTTAATCTTTGTGGTGGGGTGACAATCTCCTATTCAAAATGAAGTCATTTATATTAGCTGTTCGGTTTTAATTAAATGTTTAGTAGTATTCATTAAATATTGGGCAGTAGCACTGCTATTAAGAATAGGGTTAGTGCTTGAGGGCCATCTACAGACTTAATTTTAAAATAGAAAAATGTAGAATAGTGACCTAATAAGACATTTTTTTTAGGAACAACAGGCATTGGGAGAAAAATATAGACAAGTGAAATCGATACTGTCAAGAATACAAACTACAGAGTGGGGAAAAAGAGGTTTATAGAGGGTCAAGCTCCTCAAGGTGAAAGAATTGGAATCTTTTCTGTAGAGGATGGCTTAAAGGATGTGATGATATTTATAAGTTGGCTTGGTAATAAAGAACACTGTTAGATTAGTTAAAAATGGACCCAACTAAACATACAGGAGAAAAGAGTTTTTTAAAGGCCTGTTCAGATTGTTTGAAGACATCTGAGAATTTAGCATTCTTTTAGTATGTAAGAAGGGAAGTAATTGATTGTAATTCAGTATGCCTGGTATTTAAAATGAGGAGAATCTTAGGGAAACTTTGGATGTCAGAGCAAGAGGGATGTGTAGATGATGTCATTTTGGCAGCAGTTACAAGCTAAATTGAAGCAGATATGGAGGTAGAATAGCATCAGAAAGACATGAAAGTAAATGCCAGCTCAAGTTGGATGACAGGGTTCCTCACAGGTATTCTGTACGTTAGCTGTGCATATGGAACTTTCCCGGTCACTTGTTCAATGTTATTCTCTGCAATTTATCTGTAATGCTATATAGCTTTGCTGTTACACCAGCGAGCAAGGATGGAGAGGTTAGCAAAGCAATTGAAACTTGAGAAAGAGGAGTTAGAGCGATTGAAGGCTGAAGTTAACGGTATGGAGCATGACCTAATGCAGAGACGGCTCAGAAGGGTCAGCTGCACCACTCCGATTCCAACGGTAAGTGATCTCTTGGGATGTGTTGGATAGGCAGGGGGGTAGGGGGTGTTCCTGGCAGTTTTTTGTTTTTAAACAATGGATGAAGAACTTTTGCCTTCAATGATTCTCATCAAAATAATTTCGTGCTTTATTTTTTTTCATATGTATGAGTTCCATAGGCTTATTAGTATTTTCAAATACTGACAGTTATAATCAAGCTATAGATCTCATTTACAAAAGTTGCTTTCTGTCAAAATAGAAATGAAGAGTGCACCCTTAGCAAATATTTTATAAATTGTTCTCATGTATTCATAGCACATTACATATATTTTTCCAAACATTTAAAAATTATTTTTCTAAGTATATTAATTCAGATGAGGTACAATGAGATCAATATGAATTTTGGGAGTGTTGACTATAGACTGTTTTAAGGCAGAGCAATTTTGTTAATTAAGTGTAAATAAATGTAGAAACTAAGATAGCGGTATTGACAACAGTCTTAACAGGAACTGCTCTAATGAAAAGATTTGGATAATATATTTTTAACGTGTCGGTTAATATTTAATAAAGATCTTAAACAATTCTGAAAAATTTGAACAAGCCTCTAAAATCTTATGATATCACAAACTTTCTCTGATCCAACCACTTATCATTTCACCTTTTAACATTCAGTCAACGATCATATTTTAGTTTGTGAATGTGGTCCAGTGCTAGGTTCTTAGTGCATACCTGCTAGTGGAGAAATAGATATCAACAGATAATACAGTGGTAAGTGCTCTGTATGCTCATGGTTGGTGATAAGAGAATTCGTACGTTAACTAGTGTCTGTACGTACTCAATGCACTTCTCTGCTCTCTCATATTCCTCCTGCTGGAGTGCCATTCTAAAGCTCTGCATGTACAATCCTGTTTTTCAGGGCTCAACTCGATCTCTACTTTTTTCAGAGCCATTCCTCATTTTCTTAGCCCCTCTAAACTAAGGATAATCTCTCTCTCAAAGTTTCCAAGTTTAGAGAAGTGGGCATATATGTCAGGCCTCTTGCAGACAGATTGAAGGAAAAAGGGGTGAGGAACCACTGCCCTAAACAGTATAATATTGCTGTGTAAGCAGAGAGGAAAGGGGAGGGCATTTTAGAAGGGAAAAGAACATGAGGCAATGATGACTTGAAGTCGAGACAGAGACTTTCAGGAAGCAGCAATTACAGTTCCCTCCCTTTAAGCTGAGATTTCTGATGTCTTAACAGGGTCATGTGCATAGGTGGAATGGGGCTTACGCCTTGAACTCCAGGTTGAGGTGTTTGACCTTTATTCTGCTGGTCATGTGGAACTAGTGGATGTTTTTGAGAAACAGGCAGTTTTTGTTTTTAAATATTTTTTTAATCCTCTCCTGAGGACATACTTATAGAAAGGGAGAGGGAGAGGAAGAGAAACATCGATCAGCTGCCTTTCGTACTTGCCCTGACTGGGGATCAAACCCACAACCCAGGTATGTGCCCTGATCCGGAATCAAACTGGCAACCTTTGAGTGCACAGGGGGATGTTCAGCCAACTGAGTCACACCAGCCAGGACTGAGAAACGGACATATTTAATAATTTAGTGAAATTTTTTCTAATGTTGAAAACTTGGAATATTACTAAGTTATCTTTAACTGAAAGGTGATATTTCTGTCTTATTTTTTCTCACTTGAAGTCTTAATTGAATCCTCTGATGAGGGGAGATACTGAAGAATGTAACACATAGGGAAACTACCTATGGTGGTTGGGCACAAGTCTTTTAGGTACTTGTAGGGCATAAACAAATTTTCATAGCATATGTTATTTTCTCCAACAAAACCATATAAGCTTTAAATAGCAGCCCTTTACTGTGTGATAATCCCTGCTAAAAATAAAGCCCTATTGGTTTTTTGTTGTTGGAAGTAGAGAACTATATAATGTAGCACAGGTTGGTGCTTTAAAAAACCCAGAGTTTAGATGAGAGCTTGTATTGATGAGACTTCTTTAGAAAAAGTGGGAAGTTGTTAAAACTGCTGACCTGGGTTGTAATTTATTTTATAAAAAAAGTTAAGAGAATTTCAAAGATAAATAAAATAATGAACTCCCATGTAGCCATCACCCAGTTTCAGAAATTGATAATATTTGAGGAGTGAGAAATTTGAATGTGATTCCCCTGTGTTTCTGCTGCCAGGCCTAGAGTAAAATGGAGGACTATTAGGAGTGCATGGTTGAGGGACAATTACAGTTAAGACAGTGAGCTCTCAATTCAGGTGTGAATTTGAATCCTACTTCTGCTGCTTTCCTATCACTCATATATCCTTGGATAAGTAACCTTCTCTGTGCTTCTTATCTATAATATATGTCAGTACCCATCTGATGAGATTGTTGTTATGATTAAATAACACATTAAACAATTTCTATAATGCTCAACAAATAGTATAAAATTAGGGTTGGTTGCAAGATACTGTAAAAATCTGCTTGAGATATATACAAAAATCTGAAGCATTTTATAAAAATGATTTCCTTTTAACTTTGGGAACATACATAACACAAGAGTATATTATATGTAGGAAATTAATCAGAAAACAAAGGATTTTGTCAGAATTTCCTTTTTGTTCATAGGGGCTTATTTGAGGCACATGACATAGTTGAAAGAGTGCCCTCATAGGCTCTGGAGCTGGAATAGCTCTGGCACTTACTGGTTATATCTAATTTCTCTGCAGTTGATTTTCCCTAACTAGAAAAGGGAATTATAACAAGTACATTTTAATAAAGAGACAGTGTATATAAAGTGGCTGGCGTGTTGTAGGTACTCAATAAATGGCTATCCTTATTTATCATTATGTAGGATTACATAATAGAGAATTGACTTTTTTGCTATTGAGCACATATTGCTACCTTCATGTTTTCAAACCAATTTATTTCTTACCAAGCAGTGTATAAAAAATTGGTTAGAAGTGTGACTAGTGAGATGGAACACACATCTCTGATCAGCTTGTGTATAATTGCAAACTTAGAGGAACTAAGGAGGGTGAATGTGCAAGATGCACGACCGCCAACATTTTTCTCAATATACTATTTGTAAAGCATTGTATTCAATACTGTAGATGTCTTCTCTTAAAGAGGTCTGTATGTAAAGTCTGTATGTATTTGTGTGCGTGCATGTGTGTGAGAAGAGATAATGCAAGGCAGTAAATCAGAAGTGCTTGCCAACCTAATGGTAGTGATATTAAATGCCTTCAGAGTTCAGAGATAGAAATGTTTGTTTGCTGGTAGGGTTCAAAGGTGAGACAGTTTCAAGGAGAAGGGGGAAATTAAGATTTTAATAGGCAGAGAGCTGATTACACACATACCTGTGCCCAAGTTTTTCCTCCCGTTCATCTTGTTCTGACTACTTGGGGTTTTGGACTAACCCACAGCACTGAGTCCCAGATGAATAATTGGGGCCAAGCCACGAAAGAACTTCAGTGGTCTTCAACCTTGGTCTCTGTGAGACAGCTTCTTAAAGTGCTGAAATAGTTGGCTGAAGGGATTTCTGTCACCTTTTGAAAAAAGTTTAGATATAAACATCTTGGTAGTTTACGAACAACTAAACTACGCATAGCGAATCTTGAAACCCCTTCATGAAAAACTGCTTTTTTGACAAATGATAGTGACTTCCAGAAACAGCTTTTTCCCCTCAACCAGAAGCTGTGAAAAAGGACAGGAATCTTACAGATAAACTGTTTAGTGAGTTCCAGTGGTTCTGCTGTCTTTGGAAATGAGCCTGTTGACAAGCTTTTTTTGTTGTTATTAGCAAATGTGTAGTAGCCCCTTGAGTATAAAGTGTAATACAGTATTTGCAGACTTAGTTACGGAGCTTCACTATTCAGGGACACTATGGCTGAAACA